CTTTTAAAAGAGCTTGGGGGTGGGGGAGAGAGATGGAACAACAGAGATGGAAACACTAGATTTTCTATTAAACCATCTTCCCTATGAAGAAGAAAGCAAAGCTCTCCCACCAGCCTCACAAACATGCCTCTGAAGAACCAATATGGACTGCCAATGTTTTAAGACCGTGTAGAATGATGTTTGCATGGCACCTGCTTCAGGCAGGTGGCTAAAAAACTATGTTATTTTCTCAGGTTTCAATCAACACAATATGGCTGGTTTTTTGTTGAGCTGCTTTGGAACTGCTGTTCTTACCCTATGTATTGCTTTGCACTGCATTCTCTGATTTATTGAATTTATATGTAGCCGTTTTACTGCATTTTATTAAATTTAAAAGAAAACATCTTCTCTATGATGGGGAGATAGTAGACAAAAAGAGCAGACAAAAAGAGCTCCCTGCTGTGATCAGGAAATTTCACATTCCATTTTATGCAGGGGGGGGCAACTGAGGTACTCATTAATACATAGCTGTCAACTTACAGATTTGAAAATAAGGGACCAGCAGCCTTGAAAATAAGGGATCAGCAGCCAAAATAAGGGATTTTCAGAGCACAGGTATGTTCAACTTCTGAGCCCCTCCGAGCCAAAGGCAGAAAGCCCAGCCAGCAGCCAAACAAAGCCTCAAGCGGTGGTTCCCACAGCGCAGCAACCCGGCAAAGGGGATGCAGCAAGAAAAACCACCATCACCTCTCCGCTGGGAAACGCTGAGCAAAGGCGAATCCCCAGGCAACACGGCCAATTTGATCGGCACAAGGCATGCAAGCTCCATCCCCAGTCATTCTTAGACTTCTTATTGGGTGAGCAACACAGCCAATCAACACAGCTGGAGCCTCCCTCCTCCCTGGCCAGCAGGGAGGGAGGGAGAGGAGCTGCTTCCTTTGAAACCCGGGGAATTTAAGGGACATCATCAATAAGGGACAGCAGCAGGAAACGGCGCTGGGATAAGGGACTTTCCCGCCAAATAAGGGACGGTTGGCAGCTATGCATTAATATCTTTAGAGTACAGCTATTTTGGCCCAGACGCTTGGCCAAAAAACCCTAAGGAAATTTATTGATTTTTTTTGTTTGCTGCAAAGAAACAACAACCCCTTTTTATAGCACTGCTTTAAATGAGTAGTTGCTAAAATACTAAGCCACCACCATCAGAAATAATTGCCCCCAAGCACAGCTGCCTCATGAGGCAGTCCCTTCAAGGAGAGATCCAATGGTATTTTCCTCCTACAAGTAGCAGAGGCTATTACTGTGTCTAGGCTCTTAAGAAGAGACTGAAGCAAGACATGTTGTTCAAAAAAGCAATTCAGGATTTTCAAATTGAAGGAGGGGAAGAATGCTACCTGAGCCAACTAAAACCTCCTCTTGGATTTGAACGAAAAAATAAAACAGAAGGGGTTGAGGGAGGGAAGAGAGAACAAGCCCTACCAAACAAGAAATGAAAAAGCAGGTCATAATTACTCATTCACATAACCCCAAGAGAAAGAGCAATGCAAATATGCAGGCTGCCCTGTTAAATATGTCCTCAGAAATATATATATATCTTCACCAGATCACCAGTAGAAAATGATAAGGTATCTTGCTTCTGCTCAAGCAGAACCCGGTGGAAGAAACAGCTTCTCTGGCAGCTTCATTTCACCCACCAAAGCACACAGAATATTAGGATTTGGTGCAGGGATTTGCTATAGCAGCAATTCCCCAAATCTCCATCAGTCCCAGGTTGCAAAGGTACCGTATTTTTTGCTCTATAAGATGCACCAGACCACAAGACGCACCTAGTTTTTGGAGGAGGAAAACAAGAAAAAAAAATCTGAATCTCAGAAGCCAGAACAGCAAGAGGGATCGCTGCACAGTGAAAGCAGCAATCCCTCTTGCTGTTCTGGCTTCTGTGATAGCTGCACAGCCTGCATTCGCTCCATAAGACACAAACACATTTCCCCTTACTTTTTAGGAGGGAAAAAGTGAGTCTTATAGAGCGAAAAATACGGTATTTGTTTCCGTCTATATCCCACAGAGCACATAAACTTTTAAACAAGGGATGGGGAATCAGTGTCCTTCCAGATGTGGCTGCAATACAACATTTCTGGCCACTGAACATGCTGGCCTGGAGCTGATGGGGGCTGGAGACAGACAACATCTGGAAGACCACGTTTCCCCCCCAATCTCTGTTTTAAACCAGTATGTTACTAGCAACACATATACTAACTAGACTAACAGTAGCAGCAGCAGCAAAGTCCTGCCACGGTGCCCCATTTATCTTAAATTTATGAGGACTGGGGCACGGCCACACTTGTAAAGATGCAAATGGTCTATGGATCGTTACTTAATAAACCCAATAATATAATAAAACAAGACCAGTTTCCAGCACATGTAAGATGAACCTAAGATTGACTTTCCTAGCTGCCACCAAATTATAGAGACTGTTGGAAGGGCTACTCACCAGCCAAGGGAGAATGAGGTCAGCAAAGTACACAAACGCAGCGCCCAGAGTGAAACCAACAGCTACGGGGAAGAAGGCAAAGGCCCCAAACTTTCCAGAGTCCTCCGCCAGTTCAATGGCAGGTGCAAGGAGAGACCAGTAAGAAGCAGCCAGCATAACCTAAAACGATAGAAGAGTTAATGCAAATTAAGGATGCAATAATGTAGCCCTCTTCGGTCATTCTGGTGTGCGAGAATTATGGCAACGTTGGATACAACATGGCATTTTCAATAAAGGCTCCAGCACCACAAGTGGAGATGCAGATTTCCAGCCTCCGATCAATACTTATTTCACTGCTACAATAAGATTCACGGGTAGTATGTTGCATTTCTATAGCAATGAACCAAGATAATCAAATTTCTACCTGTCCTTTGTTCAATAATGTGAGACACCCGAATCCAGTAACTCCACAGGGTAAAATCTCCATTATATTTATTTTATTTTCTTTCAAATCCAGATGCCTGGACTGTAAACCTTGAATTTAGGAGCTGAATTGATTTTTTTTTTTTTTTTAATATAACTCGCACTTTAAAAAAACACAAAAAACCAAGGTAAAACGTCCAACAATATTGCGAAGCAATTCCTGTCCTATTATGTGGCTAACATGCCTTGGAACAACTGAACTATCCAGGAGATTTGGGGAGCTTCATAACAGGTTGTGAAATGTTTCACTACAGACAAACTATGAGCTGCAACCACGTTCCTTTCCTAGTTTACAGCTCGTGGTTTGTCTGGGGGACATAAACCACAAGATCAGGTTCAGACAACACATTAAGTCAAACCATGGCTTAGCTTACAGCAGCCAGAGGACTGAGAGAGGAGTGTAGCAGCTGTAATAATCTCTCTGGGAACACTTAGGCTTCTGCGTTTGCACTTAGTGTTATGCATGATCCAGCTCCATATGCTGAAATTTGGTGGGAAATGTAGGTGGGAAGAAGGTGAAGATGATACATTTCTGTCCACCCTTCAAAGTGTTGTAAGCCAGAAAATAGCTTATCTCCTGAGTTTACGCCAATAAAACTCAGAAACGTGAGGAGTTAGGAGTCTGTCAGGGAACTGCCATCGGAAGGAAGGGAGGTGAAAGGGCTCACACAGGTTGGGAGAGACTCAGCAGCTGAAGAGGGAACCAGTAGGGGGAGAGGAGCTGAGCTGAGGGAAAGTGAGCTGGAGGGATGGCTCAGAGACACTTCCAGCGAAAGCAGTGGGGAGGTTTCCAGGACCTCCTGTGAGGGACACCCACTCCTCGCCGGAAACTGTCACGCAGAGAGTCCAGAAGACGTGTTTCCGTTAAGGAGTTTTTATGTTGAGGGAAAGTGAGCTGGAGGGATGGCTCAGAGACACTTCCAGCGAAAACAGTGGGGAGGTTTCAGGACCTCCTGTAGGAACACCCACCCTCGCCGGAAACTGTCACGCAGAGAGTCCAGAAGACGTGTTTCCGTTAAGGAGCTTTTATGTTGGAAGCGATTCCGAAAGCAACCACTGTCGGAATCTGCTAGTGACTAGAGGAGCCATGTCTGAGGGGCTCACACAGACAGAGGTTTGTGGACTTGAACAAACTCTGAGGGGATACTATTTTACGCACAAGCAGCTCATCATCCCATCACAGCATTCCGACAGTCTTTGAAAGCAGCTTGTGCAGGAGAAGGCATCATGAGCAACCCAGCCGGAACCGGAGAAGCAGGAGCTGGAGCGGGTCCAAGCCTGGAAGAAAGGTACCGGGTGTTGGAGGTCCAGCTAGCGCTGCAGACGGCGAGGCTTGAGGAGAGGAGGGCTCAGGATGCAGACAAAAAGGGGAAAGCCACCCAGCTCGCCAGAAAGGTACCAGGATTGGTGCAGAAGTTTGGGGGGGAGCCCAAAGACTATCATGGCTTTCGGACAGAGATGCAATATGCCCTCAATCTGCAGTTTGATGAATTCCTGACGAGGAATCACGAGTGGCTTTCGTGATTGGGCATCTTGAAAAGGGGGCGAGAGACTGGGTTAGACCCCTGATGGCAGCGAATAGTGACGTCCTAAAGGACACGATGAAGTTCTTTCGCGCCATGGATCTGATGTTTTCCAGCGATATTGAACAGGGAGTGGTGCGCAGACAGTTAATGGCTTGCAAACAGGGGAGCCGATCTGTCCGTGAGTATTGGACTGAGTTCACCATGCTGGTTCACAGATTGGGGTGGGACTTATCGGCGGAACCCATTCAAATGCTCTTTGAAGAAGGGCTTTCTTCGGCTGTGAAAGACGAACTTTCCCGGGCGCCCAGGGCGGAGTCTATGGACCAGCTGACCAAATCAGCGCTGACCATAGGAGCGCGCCAGGAGGCGAGAGCATTGGAGAGGCGGGAAGGGAAGGGGGAACGTTGGAAGGAGTTCCGCATTCCAGACATTCCAGAGCCAACTTTCCCGCCGGCAGAGCCGATGGAAATCGGAACAGCAGCGCGCGCGCAGTTTCAAAGCCCAGTGAAGGGGGAAAGAAGGAGGGAAAACGCGCCCGGAAATGCTATCTCTGCCAACAGCCAGGTCACTTTGCCAGAGTCTGCCCCCAGAGGAAGGAATGGCAAGGGATGGTAGGAGCTGTGGAGGGAAGAGAGGAAGAAATACCGGAGCAAGTAAAGCCAACGCCTGGCTGCCACCGTCGGGGCACAGCAGCCAGGCCAAAGAGCAGTGAGAGTGCCCACGCCAGAACCTCCTAAACCCGCCCTAGTGATAGAAGTGGCGCTAGAGCTGCCAAACGGACACCCTCTAAAGATAAAGGCGCTGTTGGACTCAGGCAGCTCCTGCAATTTCATGAGCAAAGAGTTTGCAGCTGAACACCAGATACAGACGATCCTTTAAGCAACCCCTGCAGGTGACCACGATCGATGGCAGGGAGCTGTTGGGAGGAGAAGTCAGCTTGCAGACCGTCCTAATGATAATGAAGGTGGCAAGGCACACCGAACTGATAGCGTTTAATGTGGCCACCTTGGGAGGAGCTCCCATTATATTGGGGATGAGCTGGCTAGCGTTACATGATCCGCTGGTGGGCTGGCATCAGAGAGTGGTTTCTTTGGTTCAGCACATTGCTTAGAACACTGCAAAGAGGGAAAGGGTTTGGCAGGGGCCCAAGCCACCCTAGCAGGGACTGAAGTAACGGAGAACGTGAAGGTACCACGACAATACGCAGATCTCCGCGACGTCTTCAGCGAAAGGGAAGCTGACCAACTACCCCCGCATAGACCCTTTGACTGTCAAATCAATTTACTCCCTGGGGCACAGCTCCCTGTAGGCAAGCTGTACGCCATGTCAGACAGAGAGATGCAGGAGCTAAGAGAGTTCATTGACAAGAACCTGAAGAGAGGGTTCATCAGAGAGTCCAGGGCGGTGTAGGGCAACCCAGTGTTTTTTGTGGATAAAAACACGAACAAGCCGAGGCTGGTGTGTGACTTCAGGGCCTTAAATGCAGTGTCAGAACCAGTGGCCTTCCCTATGCCCAGGATTGACGACATTTTGACAAGGGTGCGGAAGGGAAAGATTTTCACAAAGCTGGACCTAAGGGGGGCGTACAACCTGATACGAATAAGGAAGGGGGATGAATGGAAAACCACTCATGTTCACCCCTTTAGGGGCATTTGAATATTTGGTTATGCCCTTCGGCCTACAAGCAGGCTCCGCATGCTTTCAATCGTTTATGAACCACGTCCTGGGGCCTTTGCTTTACAAGAATTGTGTGGCCTTCTTAGACGACGTGTTGGTGTATTCTGAGAATGAGGAGCAGCATGTGAGAGACGTCAGAGAAGTGTTGAGCAGGCTGCAAGCCAACCAGCTGTGGGTGAAACTGGAGAAGTGTCAGTTTCATACCAAGGAGGTGGAATTCCTGGGGTATCGCCTGTCAGACAAGGGATTGGCCATGGATCCCGGCAAGGTCCAGGCGGTGCTGGAATGGAAAACACCCAAAACAAGGAAGGATGTGCAGAGGTTCCTAGGATTTGGGAACTTCTATCGTAAGTTCATCCGAAACTTTGCCCACCTGACGGCGCCCATTACGGACTGTCTCAGCAGTAAGAAGAAGTTCGTTTGGACTGAGGAGGCGGAGCGAGCATTTGAGGAACTAAAAAGGGCCTTCGCCTCGGAACAACAACTCCTGCATGTGGATTTACAAAAACCGATGAGAGTGGAAACTGACGCATCAGACAGAGCGATTGGGGCGGTGCTTCTGCAGCCAGGGAAGGAGGAGTCAGAGTGGAGACCGTGTGCTTTTTTTCGCGAAAGCTGAACAAATCCGAGAGGAACTACACGGTGTATGACCGAGAACTACTAGCCATTCATGAGGCGTTCCGGAGATGGAGGCACCTGCTAATTGGCGCACAACATAAGGTGCAAGTGTGCACTGACCACAAGAACCTAGAGTATTGGAGGACGGCACGAGTGCTCAACCAACGGCAAGTGAGATGGGCCCAGGAGTTCTCCAAATTTAACTTTGAGATTGGTTACGTGCCAGGCCCAGAGAACCTTCGGGCGGACGCTCTCTCACGCAAACCTGAATATTTGGAGGGGGAGGGAGCACCCGAAGAGAGACATGTCATTCCAGAGGACCGCTGGGTGTGTGGGGCGGCATTGGTGGGACAAAGAGAACTGGTAGAGGAAACAGAGAATGATGAATACGCCCAGAATAAGCTCAGAGGTCTTAGGGGTGAGGGAGAGGAACCAGGGGGTTTCGAGGAAAGAAATGGAGCTTTGTATTACAAAGGGGCACTGTATATCCCTGAAGGAGACTTAAGGGGGAGGGTACTCAAGCAGTTGCACGACAGCCCTACGGCGGGGCATTTTGGACAACACAAAACCATGTGGTTGGTCACCAGGGAATTTTGGTGGCCTAAGGTGAGGGAAGATGTACGTGAGTATGTAAGAGGGTGCGAGCAATGCCAGCGAGCCAAAGGGGAAAGGCGGGCGCCGGCGGGGCTATTAGAACCCTTACCAACCCCAGAACGACCTTGGGAGGCAGTGTCGATAGATTTTATGACTGATCTGCCGAAGTCCAAAGGGAAAACAGCCATCATGGTGGTGGTAGACCTACTAACAAAGATGTGCCACTTTGTAGCTTGCTCGCATGCAGTCACGGCGGAAGAGACAGCGAAGTTATTTGTAGAACACATTTTTAGGTTGCACGGGTGCCATTGAGGGTGGTCTCAGACCGAGGAAAACAATTTACTTCCAGGTTCTGGAGGAAGCTCATGAGCTTACTGCAGGTGGAGGTCAATTTTTCGACTGCCCGGCACCCTGAAACCAACGGGCAGGCGGAAAGAGCAAACGGTGTCCTCCAGCAATACCTGAGGTGTTATGTCAATGACAGAGAGAATGACTGGGTAGAAAAGTTGGCGCTGGCGGAATTTGCCTACAACAATGCCGAGAATGTGTCCACAGGGATGAGCCCCTTCTTGGCTAATTATGGGTGTCATCCCAGGGCTTTCCCAGGGGGAGATGGGGAGAGATGGAGCGTCCCGGCAGCCGAGCATTTTGTGGAAGAAATGGAAGCAATCCATCGTCAGCTCCAACTCAACTTAGAAAGGGCGAAGGAAGAATACAAGAGGCAGGCAGACAAGAACCGAAGGGAAGGTGAAACCATAAGGGTGGGAGATAGGGTGTGGCTGTCAACCCAAGGGCTGCCGCTCAAAGGAGGTTGTAAGAAATTAAGACCCAGGAGGTTGGGTCCCTTTGAGGTCATTCAACAGGTCAACCCAGTGGCTTTCAGGCTCCGGTTACCCAACCACATGAAACTGCACCCAGTATTTCACAGGTCGTTACTGTCACCGTACGAAGGGGGACGAGAAGGGATGGCCACTAGGGACCGGTCATAGAAGAAAGAGAATGCAGCAGCCATGTGGCAGAAATCCTCGACGCCAGGTGGAAGGGGGATCAGGTGGAGTATTTGGTAGCGTGGGAAGGAGAACCGGAGTCAGAAAACACTTGGGTAATGGCCGAAGATATCAATGACGAGGTATTGATAGAAACGTTCCATCAAAGGTTCCCAAGGAAACCTCAGCCTGTGGAGAGGTTCCGGAGGGAATACTTTGGGACCACTGATGAGGAGGAGGAGTTGGAAGGATTCCCGGACTCGGAAGGGGAAGGGGAGATGGACTCTGAGGAGGAGGAGTACTTCGAGACCAGGAACCGCAACAGGTGGAGAGAAGTGTTCGAGACATCGGAAGATGAAGGAAGTTCATTCCGGGTTTTGCCTCCTCACCGCCCGTAGAGGAGGGGGCGAGAGGGGGTGAAAGGGGCCCTGGAGGGGGAGGTGGATGTCAGGGAACTGCCATCGGAAGGAAGGGAGGTGAAAGGGCTCACACAGGTTGGGAGAGACTCAGCAGCTGAAGAGGGAACCAGTAGGGGGAGAGGAGCTGAGCTGAGGGAAAGTGAGCTGGAGGGATGGCTCAGAGACACTTCCAGCGAAAACAGTGGGGAGGTTTCAGGACCTCCTGTAGGAACACCCACTCCTCGCCGGAAACTGTCACGCAGAGAGTCCAGAAGACGTGTTTCCGTTAAGGAGCTTTTATGTTGGAAGCGATTCCAAAGCAACCACTGTCGGAATCTGCTAGTGACTAGAGGAGCCATGTCTGAGGGGCTCACACAGACAGAGGTTTGTGGACTTGAACAAACTCTGAGGGGATA